CAGTCTGCTTGCAAGTGCCCATGGTTAAATTTTCAGGAATTGTGAGAGCCAGTTGTCACTCAGCCATTATAAGCAATTAAATTATATAAACTTATAATTAAATAAATTACAAATGTTAAATACTCAAAATGGATCACTTCCTAATTTATTTTGCTTCATTTTACTATTACAGGTACTTTTGAGGATATTATTATGTTTATTGTCTCTATATGGTGTATTTACTATATAATGGTGTGCTATTGGCCATTTCTCCCCAGCTTTGTTGTATTCAGTGACAGCGATAGCTTCAAACCACTCATTAATGAAATATTTATGCCATGCATGTTGGCAAATTTCTAAATCAGGCTGTTTTTATTTTGTTTTGTTTTTCTGGAAAGCTAGCTGTTAAATATTTACTGGCTTTGCCGGCCACTGGACTTATGCAAGACAATCTGAGTTTTTTATTAGGGAAAGAGAATCATCTGATTGATGTGGGTGAAGAAATAGATGATCAGAATGACCCCAAATTTGACTTGTATAACGGGTTAATGTGGTGCCATTTATTGTAAGGGGACTCATAATCTGGAGGTCCTTATGGGGGAGAGGTAACAAGGTTTGTACTTACTGCATCTGGGAAGCCCACGATCCATCCCAGTTCATTGGATAGTTGGTTTTATGGGTCTGGAGCTCAAGAGAAAAGTCTGGAATGGAGGAATGGACTTGAATCATCTGCATGCAAGTAGCGGTTAAAACTAGGAGTGTGGCGGGGCGCCTGGGTGGCTTAGTCGGTTAAGCGTCCGACTCCTGATTTCGGCTCAGGTCATGATCTCAGTCAGGGTTGTGAGATCGGGCTCTGCACTCAGCGGGGAATCTGCTTGAGATTCTCTCTTGCCCTCTGCCCCTCAAAAAACTAGGAGCATGGGTGTGGTTGCTTAAGGTAAGTAGCAGAAGAAGGCCACGGTCAGAATTCACCAGAAAGTTAACATTAATGCAGTGGGTAAGGAGGAGGAGCCAGCAAAGGAGCTGCCACACCCTGGTCAGAGATGCTGGGGGTAAACAATTTCAAAGCAAAGCTCCTGACCTCAGGGAGGTTGGTATATACACGAGAATCTCAAAGCGCTTAAGTTCTAGCAAAAAGGTGAAAACAGAATGCTGTTCTTGAGAGCACAGAGGAGCCAGTGAGAAACGTGTTAGAAACAGAGAGGTGGAAATGAGTTGGGACACGGACATTTGAGATTTTATTTTATTACTATTTTTAATTTTTTTAGTAGATGAGAGTTTTTCTGTCAGCAAAACCCTGAAAGCCCAAGAAAAGGGAGAGCCGAAATGTTTGGAAGGATAATTTCCTCAAAAGACACATTTGGTTAAAAAAGAGAAGTTGCCTGCCTTTTTCTAGGCATATTCTCTAAATGCACAAAAGCACATTTTTTTAAATCAAACCAACTATGCATACCACATGATTACATTTCTAAATTAAACATGACTAGATGTGTATATAAAGGGGATCTTTAAAAGGTGTATTTAAATTCCACCCATCTTCTTCTTTCCTTCAGGAAATGAGTTTCTTAGTTGTTTGGGTTTTATTTTTTAACAGTTTCAAATTTAATGAAAATTTGGCGTATTCCCTTTGGGCACTGACTTGTTGTGTGGCTGGTCATGTTCTCCCTGCCAGCTCCATGCTTTGTAAAGCTCAGCCTTGCCCAAGGCTCTTCCGCTCCTCTCCTCCACACAGAACTTTCTACTGGCTGCTCAGTGAACAGCATACTGTTTAGATTTGTGTCTGGAGATGCCTCTAAGCTTAACAGATGCAGCAAAAGCAAATTTATTCTGTGGCCTCACTTAGCTTTCCTTACCATTGGCCTTTGCCTTCTCTCTCTCCATTGCATGTGCTAAGATTGTTTAGAAGGGTCATGTTGCTTTTAAAATAATGTAGGAGGGTGCCTGGGTGGCTCAGTTGGTTAAGCAACTGCCTTCGGCTCAGGTCATGATCCTGGAGTCCCGGGATCGAGTCCCGCATCGGGCTCCCTGCTCAGCGGGGAGTCTGCTTCTCCCTCTGACCCTCTTCCCTCTCGTGCTCTCTATCTCTCATTCTCTCTCTCTCAAACAAATAAATAAAATCTTTAAAAAAAAAATAAAAAAATAAAAATGTAGGAGTTCCAGAGGATAAGGCACTCAGGGGCTGCTGGTTGTTCAAGCATTTTCCATGTCACTGGATACATGGCATGGAGTGGTTTTAGAAAAGGAAAAAAAAGAGGGCTTTGGGGAAAAACAGGGAAAAGCCCTACTAAAGTAATTAACAATGAACTGTAATACACGATCTCATTGATAAAAAACCATTTAGAATTTGTGATGTTACCCTCTGCAAACCTGTACTAAATTCTAAAACAGCTTTTCCAGGGGCACCTGGGTGGCTCAGATGGTTGGGCATCTTCCTTCAGCTCATAATCTGGGATCCCAGGTCCTGGGATCAAGTCCCATGTCAGGCTCCCAGCTCAGTGGGGTGTCTGCTTCTCCCTCTCTCCCTGTGTTCTCTCAAATGAATAAATATTAAAAAAAACCAACAACCAACGGCTTTTCCTATCTTCAGATAGTGAAGGTTTCCCCTCCTCCCCTTTTCTAACCTCCGAATATTTGAAATGACACCACACAACTAACCTTCCAATTTAGCATCTTGAGAGGAAGGTGCTTTACATAAAAGCCTTGCTCGCTTCCTTGCCTCTTTTCTTCCTAACCCCCACACATTATGCCCACCAGTTTCTCACCGGACTGTGCTCAGTGCATTGTAAGGGAAAAGATAGTGACTCCTATGTGTATGTGTCATTGTTCTAAATGTACTGTACTTATTGAATCCTTATGCTTTATTACCTAGCTTTATGTCATTTTACAGCTGACAAAACTTCAAAGAGGTTAAGTAAATTGCTCAATTACAGGGCTTGTAAATGGTGAGCAGGGATTTTAAACCCACACTGCATAGTCTGTCCCTAACCTCTCTGCACATTGCCTCTACAGGTATGCTGCGAATCTCTAATCATGCTCATTTTATTATGATGTTTAGCTCCAGAAAATCCCACGGGCAGGGCCACTTCCTCTTCATCTTTTGAATCCTCCGCCTAGCGGTGTCTGAGCGAAGCAGGCCCTGGAATAGCCACCCTGCATCGGCTATCAACTCACGCTAGCACTAGGCACCGTGGCACGTGTGTGACTTGTGTGTATTTGGTCAATGACTTCTGTTCAGTATAACTCATAGACTGTAGTCCTATAAGGCATTAACCTTTTTAGTATCTGTGTCAGGGGTCCTGAAGACCACCTGTAGGTTCAATGACTTGTTAGGACACACAGGACTCAGCACCTAGTTTTATTCACAGCTAGGACTTATTAGTGAAAGGGTACACAGCAAAATCTGCAAAGGAAAAAGACACATGAGGTGACACCTGGGGAAACGAGGCACAAGTTTCAAGAATTCTCTCCCAGTGGTCATGCCACATGAGCTGAAATTCCCCCAGTAATAAGTTGTGACAATACACGTGAAATGCTGTCCACCAGGCAAGCTTGTGCGACTCAGTGCCCAGGTACTGGGAGCTGGTCACTGAGGCAGCCTCTGCCTGGCACCTATCACAGTTCCAGACTCCCAGAGGGAAAGGTGTTCAGCACAAACCATACTGTTCATACAGTAGAGACAGTTTAGGCATAGTGAGCCCCTTTCACCCATTCTGGGAATGGTGGAAACCTCCTAAAAGCCAAGTTCCCAGACGCCAGCCAAGGGCTCACCTTGTAAGCTGGTCTCTCTGAGGCTAAGCCTCAGAAAGCTATGTTAGCTTTCTTTGGCACAGGAATTTTATTGCAATGATTTTCTCTCTCTGTATGTTATCAATTTGTTTTACATTGACAGACATAACTTAAGCAGGCTAAATAAAGTCCAACCAAACTTGAAAGCTGAAAGACACCAACTCAGTAATACCAAGGCTCACTACTGTACAAGCCCATTTTAGTTCTTAAAAAACACCTATGTAATAATTGCATTTCATATTTTCTTACTATCTCTGCACTTCAGAAAGCCCTCTGACATAGATGACAGTCACCTGGCTATTTGTACTTAAGGCACATATGAATAGAAAAGGAATGGTTCTGCAGGCAGGCAATAATACATAAAAATTAACTGCCTCTTTAGAATATACTACATCATTAAGATCAAGTCCCCCCATTTAAATGACATATAAGGCAACATTAGGAATGATGTATTTCCTTTATATTACTGTAAAGTCTTGAGCCTTTAAAAAAGGATAACCTTAAGTTCAACTACAACATGCAGAATAGACTATATAAAGTGACAACCTTACTTTTTGAACTTTATTATGCTTCAGACTTTTTTCTGATCATTTCAGATTTTTTCACTGTCCTATATTTTGTGAACTGCATTTTAAAATCAGAAGCAATTTTACAAACCTCTGTGTATGACCGACACCAAACAAAAGACAAAAAATTTCCAGCTTTATTAACAATTCTAAGTAGAAGAGAACACAATTAAGAGCTGTCCCAGTTAACATGAGCATTTAGCAGGTAAACATCTCTTGAATAAAAAAGAAATATTTTAATTAAAAAAAAAGTGTAACATGGATAGACCTAGAGGGTATTAGATTAAGTGAAATAAGTCTGACAGAGAAAGACAAATATGATGTGATTTCACTTATGTGTGGAACCTAAAAAGCAAAACAAAGCAGAAACAGGCCCATATATACAGAGAACAAACTGGTGGCTGTCGGGGGGGGCGGGGGGGATGAACCAAAATAAGTGAAGGGGAGTGGGAGGTCCAGGCTTCCAGCTACAGACTGAGTAAGTCGCAGGGATGAAACCTACCACACAGGGAACAGAGTCAATGGTACTGTAATAGCGCTGCACTGTACAGACAGCAGGTACGTCCGTGGTGAGCAGAGCGGAACATATAGAGCTGTTCAATCACTATGTTGTACATCTGAAACTATTATATAACACTGGTGTGCAACTATACTTCTATTAAAAAAAGCCAAGGATTGAAGGAAGGAGAAAATTTTCCAAACAGCAGCTTGTACTTTCTTCACAATTTGTATCATTTGTATTCTACATCATTAAATAAATACTCGTGTGATATTTACAAAGTAGAGACAAGAGGAAAAAACCTAAGTATCAGGTCTTTCATTTGTTACCCCTCTGCCAATCTTCTGGATCCATGAGTTTACATACCAACTAATAATGTGATTCTAGTTAACTACAGTTGAAAGCTTATCAATCAAGTCATCAATAGTGTAAACAAGAAGTTGAATGTCCGCTTTTTCCTTCATTCGGTGATCACTATGTTTCCGGAGGATGACATCTACATCTGTGCCGACCACTCGGTCAGCAACCTGTATGGATGTATGCCAAGGCACGATGTCATCTTTCATGCCATGGAGCAATCGTATGGGGCAGTTCACTGGGATAGGGCTATGTAACAAGCAGTGGTGTTCGGCTTCCTTAATGAAACTATACTGAATGTGATAAATTCCGTCTTCACTGTATCTTGATGGCATGGCCCACACGCCTTTCATCTCTACTTCCTTTTTGACCTATTGGGGAAAATGAGGAAAATAAATGTATGCAACACTAACACACACAATAGTCTTAAACAGTCTAAGAAAAGCAGTCCTAGAAGAGGAGGAAAAAAAGAGATAAAAATGTAATAATGCTAATTATCAATAATTAAACACTATGCAAGGTACTGTGACAGCAACTTTACACATAGTATCTCATAAGATCCGGATAAAAATTGTTATTGGATTTTTACAAAAGAGGGTATTAGAGCCTAGAGAAGTTAAATTTCACGTTTAAAACTGATAGGTAACAACTCTCATAGCTAGGATTCAAACTTAGATTTAGCTTCATCAGGTAACATCTTAAATCAGGTGCCGCTTCACCCCAAATGAAAGGGAAAACGAAGGGGAGAAAATCATTCATAATATATAAAACCAAATCGTAGGAATAACAACTGTTTAGATTTCAAAAGCACGAAACTGAAAGTGTCTATATATGAAGTTACTAAAATAGGGATGGAATAAGGGGAGAAAAGAATCAAGCCTAGAACTAAAAATGAAAAATAACACAGTAGTTACTCTGGCACAATCAAACATAGAATTTCAGGCTAGGGGTGCCTGGGTGGCTCAGTCAGTTAAGGTCATGATCCTGGGGTCCTGGGATTAAGCCCCGTGTCAGACTTCCAGCTCAGTGGGGAGTCTGCTTTTCTCTCTCCCTCTGCCTCTCCCCCTGCTTGTGCTCTCTCTCTTGCTCACTCTCTCTCAAATGAATAAATAAAATCTTTAAAAAAAAAAAAAAGAATTTCAGGCTAAATGTTACCAAAAAAAAAAAGGCACTGTTTTTGCCTTCCAGAGTCCTAGGGAATGAGAAAAAAATGTGTTGCTTTGGAAGACAATGAAGTCTTCCAAATACTTCCTGAAAACTGAACAAGGAAATCACTTCCACACTTATTCCCTTAAGATGAAACTGGGTATCTTTTTGATTCTTGAAGAACTTTTACTTTTTAGATTATAATTTGTCTTAAACAATTTCTTTAAAGATTTTATTTATTTGAGAGAGAGAGAGACAGCACAAGCAGGGGGAAGGGCAGAGGGAGGGGGAGAAGCAGGCTCCCCACTGTGCAGGATCCCGGGATCCCAGGACCCTGGGATCATGACCTGAGCCGAAGGCAGACACTTAACTGACTGAGCCACCCAGGCACCCCTTAAAATTTTTTTCTAATTAAAGTAACGTATAGTCATCATAGAAAACATGGGAAATATAGAAATTATAAAAAGAAGTAATCACATATAATCTCACCTCTTGGATACAACAACCATTAGTATTCTGGCTCATTTCCTTCCAGTATTTTTCTCCATGTATTTGGTTTTATGTATGTAATACGTAAAACGGATATCTATTACACATTCATATAGAGTTTTCTACATTGCTTTACTTCTACATAATATCTGGGTTTTAAAAAATTCTATGAAGTTTTCAAAGGTTGCACAGTAGTCCATTATACTGGATCTATGCTAATTAACTATTTCCACACTGCTGGGTACTTCCATGAACATCTTGAGCATAAAGATTTATCTGTATATAATAAATTATTTGGAAATATTATCAGAACTTTAACTAATATATCAAGATGTAAATATTTTTAAGGCTCTTGCAATCGTATCATATTAAGGGCATTTCTGACTAGAAAAACAGGTGGACATCTTATCAAAAATAAAGAAAAATATAAGGAAAGAAAAACCAAATATAATATATTGAAAATTTTCTATTTAAACTTTCAGTGAAGAGGGGCGCCTGGGTGGCTCAGTTGGTTAAGCGACTGCCTTCGGCTCAGGTCATGATCCTGGAGTCCTGGGATCGAGTCCTCCATCGGGAGTCTGCTTCTCCCTCTGACCCTCCCAACCCCTATGCTCTCTCTCTCATTCTCTCTCTCTCAAATAAATAAATAAAATCTTAAAAATAATAAATATATATTCAGTGAAGATATTACGATTTTTCCGTGTTTAAAATGTTAATTTACTGCAAATATGAAAGGAAAGCAAGAATTTAAACAATAAAATATGTATGATATAATCTGTATGTATTTAGGCATTTTAGTGCATTTTTTAGAATTGCAAAACAATTTACTGATTCGGTGAAAAAGCTGTGTATCTGAAAGCTATACTCCTAAACATGTCTTCAAGTGATTTGAAATTAATGAAATTCTAAAAAACTGTAAGATAGATGAATCTATATTAATATCAAGGCATTTTCTTCATTAAAAACATGGGAACTGAATATTTAGGGCAAAAATGATATTCAGTGATCCTCAAAGTACTTAGGATAATTACTAAATTTCTAATTTCAGTAATTAGAACTCAGTTTCATTGGTTATTTGATGAAGTGGAACCGGTGGTAATTACTGAGACGTAATTAAGAACAGCTGCATTTTAAGTATCCCCGTCCCCCACCCAGCTGTTATCTGCCATTGAATTGAATGAATACTGTCCATCTGAAGAACAAACTTCCTTCACTTCACAGAATGTTATATGTAACTGAACCCTCAAAAACAAAAAGTTCAGAAATAGCAAAAAACACCATTAACCGAAGAAAATGTACACTATAACTAAGTTATACAGCTAGAAGAAATCACAGCAAGGCGATGTGGTTGAGGAGCTTGTGTTCCAAACAGCTGTGCATCCTGTCTGATGGCTTCTAGTGTTCAAAGAAGGAGACATCATTAGAGTCAGTTCCGACACAATAAGCAATGCTGAGTGTTAACAATGCCCAGGCTAAAGATGATAGTAAAAATCACCACTTTCACTGCCTTGCCATTGTTAGAGCTAGTTGCTTCTGTGAAGAGACAGTGGTCTTAGTGTCCCTGCTCTTAAATTAACATGCTTCTATTAACAACCATTTGCTGGTCTGATTTAGGATTCGCAAAGACATGCCCTGACTTGCAGGCTATAGATCTTCTCAGTCACTTAGGGGATATCTGCCATATCCTCCCTGAGTGATGGGGATAGACACACATAAAAAGAAATGTACAAAGATCCTGTCATTTACCATAACAACAACGAAAAAATTATTTAATCACCTCTTTCCCAATCTGCTATGTTCTTGAAATAATTTCCTACCAGGAGAAACACTATTTAATTGAGTTAGAGGATGGGGTAAAGGGTTCAAAGTTTATATGCAGAAAGATGCAATGGTAGGAGAATTTAGCAGCATGAGAACATTGAGTAACTATGTATGAAAAACAACTAAGAAAACAAACAAAAAATCAGAAACAGGAGGTAAGTACAAAGACCAGCTTTGTAATTTTAGCCCTCAGAGGAAATGACATAAAACCTGCATATGCAGACAATGCCATTTCTTTTCTTTCTTTCTTTTTTTTTTAAAAGATTTTATTTGACAGAGAGGGACACAGCGAGAGAGGGAACACAAGCAGGGGGAGTGGGAGAGGGAGAAGCAGGCTTCCCACAGAGCAGAGAGCCCAATGCGGGGCTCGATCCCAGGACACAACCTGAGCCGAAGGCAGACACTTAATGACTGAGCCACCCAGGTGCCCCCAGACAATGCCATTTCTTAAGAAGCTGAGAAGAATGTGGACTGAGAAATAAGCTTAGAACAGGTAATATATGGCACTGGTATGTATCAGTGCAGAACTTGAGGCAAAGTCAACCATACTCTATATTCAAAACCGCATGTGCTTTTTTCCTCCTTATTTCCTTTCCTCCTCCATGTGCTCATCCACTCTCTAGAGCGGTGGATCTCCAACTTCACTGGAGGGGCTTGTTAAAACAGATCACTGGGCCGCACTCCCAGTTTCTCGGGGAAAGCTCAGGAACATGCATTTCTAACAAATTCTCAGGTGATGCTGACGCTGCTGGCCTTGGGACAACACTTTTTGAACCACTACTCGACTGTTTTTTTGTTTTAAAGATTTTATTCATCTATTTGACAGAGAGAGCGAGAGAGAGAGCGAGCACAAGCAGGCAGAGAGGCAGGCAGAGGGAGAGGGAGAAGCAGGCTCTCCGCCGAGCAGGGAGCCCGATGCGGGACTCGATCCCAGGACTCTGGGATCATGACCTGAGCCGAAGGCAGCCACTCAACCGACTGAGCCACCCAGGCGCCTCTCGACTGTTTTTCTTAAATTTTCTGAGCCTCAGTCCTACCAGGATCATAGTCCCACAGGTGACATCTAGATCCTTAGGAAAAAGACATGCAGAGAACTCAACTGGTTGCAAAACAGTAACAAAATATACAAAAATAAACTATGATGACGCACGATTTCTTAACCCCTGCAGACAACTGAAGTGCTTAAACATAAGTCCAATAATGAAGTGTAACAAATAAATTACCTTCATTCATTTTGGAAACCTCATTTCAATCATGATTTGCTGAAGGGCATGCTAGTAATGAAAAGCACATTTTTTTTTTAAGTGAGAATTAGCAGTAGAAAATAATGCCAACTAGGTGTCTAAGCCAGGAATGGCAAATCTCATCTCCTGTGTGCTAATTCTGATCGACTGATAATGTGTACTTGGAGAGCTCCGCTAAGAAAGGCTCTGAGGCTGCTTTCAGGCTTAAAAAAAAAAGTTTCATAATTGATGAGCCAAGTATAACATGATCATAAGAATAAGTACTATTTCCCATATGCCACAAAGTAAGAATAAGAGGTACAAAAAGAGATCACAGTGTATGATAAGTAAATGTGATTAATAAAGAAAATGTTGCCAAAAAAAAAAGAAATTTAAAGTGTGTTTTCATTAACGTGGCTCAAATATTTGGCAGAATGATTTGAAGAGGCTGTGAAAAAAGGAAACCTTGAACAAGAGACCAATTAAAGAAGGCAGAGATTATACACAAAAAGGCAGCTAAGGCAAAAGATGAGCCAGCATAGGAAGTCAAAGGACAGATGACACATGGACGAAAACTCAAAGACAGAGGGAGCAAGAGAATGACAGGATGTATATGCTGAGGCTGCTGTGACTTACCTCAACAGGAAGCTGACTGAACTGTGTCACTAGGCCATCTACAGCTGCTGCTATACCAATAAGGGCAACAACCTTTTGTGGCCTTGCGACTGCAGCATGAAACATAAGCCATCCACCGAGGCTAGACCCAACTAGTATCTAAAAATAAAAATTTATAGTTTTAAAGAGGAATTTTCTTTTCTGTAAGAGGATTGAGTAATTTACGTATGTACTTTTTTTCTTCTACATCCATTAGCTCCCAGACTTTTAATATTTGGCACAAAGTAGAATTAAAATTATGATTGCAGTGAAAAGTAAAATGCTTACATTTTACGAGAAAGTGAAAATAGAACAATTTTAAATCAAAGACCAAAAGTGATAGTTAAACATTTAAACTACTGAATTTTCATAGCTAAAGAAACAGCTAAAAAATCATGAGGTTAGTTAATAATCATATTTAAGAAAAAGTCACCTGTGGCCCTTCAGCTAAATCATCAATTACAGAAAGAACATCTTTTCTCCATCTTCCCACTGTGCATTCTTGTAAGTTGCCATCTGAATTTCCAACTCCAGAGTAATCAAACCTAGAGAAAGGGAAAACAAATCTATATCTAGATATCTATCTATGTTTGTTTCTCTGATTTTTAAGGAAGACAGCACATTTATTATTACAATGCTTAAAATATATTAAAATAAAACACTGAGGTCAATACGTATTTCAGCAGACCCTACTGGCATAACCTTCAAATATCGCCTCCATCCACTAACTCTCTCACCTTCCCCGCCACCAGTGGCGGCTCCACGTCACTATCTCCTCTGCCTGGACCAGCGTGACAGTCTCCACCTAAGTCTCCTGCCTCCCTTTCCTATCTTTGTAGTCTCTCCCCCATGTCGTCAGTGATCCTTTTAAAGCAAAAATCATGTCTTGCACAAACCCTCCAAAAGCTTTCTATAATCTTTAAATAAAATATGAAGTCCTTACCATCCCGTGGCCTCTGACTACCTCTCTGATCTCGTTTCTTCCTGTTGCCTCCCTCCCAACTATATCTTCACTCACCTTCTTGAAGTTAATGGAATACACCACCCATGTTTGTCCCTCAGGAGTTTTACATCAGCTGCTCTATCTATACCTCCAGATATCCACTTTGCTCGCTCCCTCACTTCATTCAGGCCTCAGGCTCCAATGTTACATCCCCAGCGATGCCTTCTGTGACCAACTCAATCCAAAATTGTGCTTCTTTCACCATTCTTGAATTCCTCACCCTGCTTTATTTTCTTCATGGCAGATTCTGCTACTTGACATATAAGAAATGTGACTGTGGTCTGTCTCCCATACTGGAATGGAAGCACCACTTGGGCCTGGACTATTTTGTTCACCACTGCTTTCCCAGTGCCTAGATCAGTACTTTGCATATGGTACGTGCTTAGTATTTACTAAATTAATGAAAGGGAAAAAGGCAAATCAAATTTACGAACACCAGCTCATCCTGTTAGTCTGCTTCTCTTTCCAACTTTCTAGTTCTCCAGGCTCAAAGTCTGTGTGATTTCTGCATTTTCCCTCTCCTTCAAGGCCTCAATTCAACAGATCATGAAGTATACCACACCTGCAGATTGCCTTAAACCCCAGTGCCTGGGTAAGCCTTTCGTAATGCTGAGCCTTTGCATGCGGTCCCACTGCCTGGAAAGCCTTCCTTCCCCACCCAAACTCCTACTCATTAAGTCAAGGCACTTCCTTTGAGGCACTTTCTTTGACATACATGCCCCGCTTACTACCATCAGTCACTTTCTTTTGTATGTACTCACTCAACACTTTTTGTATTATGTTGTAATCAAGTTTCAAATGTTTGTCTGACTACGATGTCAGTTCTTCAAGAGCGGACCATTTTATTCAAATCTTTTTTTTCCAGGGTACGGAACGCTGCCCCCCCCCGATTCTCGCTCACTCCCTCTCATTTCTCCTCATTCATCTCTCTCTGCAATTTGGTAAGACCAGTATCATGCTACAAAACTGGCCTAGCACAGTAGCCTCCTGTGTTTCTACGACTAGTCCCTCTCCAAACGGATCCACTTTATATCTGCCAGGTTTTTTTCTGCAACATTATATTGACATGGCATAAACTTCAGTGGTTCCCTGTGACATACAACATAAACATTTAGCGTGTCAGCCTGTTTTTATAGACCATTAGCTTCTGGTCATCTCGGATCAACCTTTTATCATTTCATTAGAGGCAACTGCCACATTGGGCAAGCTGATCAACTTGCTGTTACTCAACTGGCTCTCGCTTTCTGTCCTGTTTCATGCCTCATACCATTCTCTTCACCTGGAGTACCTTCTCCTTTCACCTTCACAGCTCATATACTCTTAGAGCTTAGTCCAAATTAACCTTTTTTTGCTGGAGAAACTTCCCAGAAAAGCTGAAGAAAAATTTCTACCTCATGAAGCTTATATAGAATTCATTTTTAGCAGTTACAATCAATTTTTTACAACCTGCTCTGTAAGACAGTTTGCGTGTGTAGTGCGCCTCGTCATCACTGTGAGACTGACAGATCCTCGCGGGGAACACCATTCTTGGTTTGTCTCTGCATTCTTCACAGAGGCGAGGCCTATAAGCCTCATACACTGAGTATCACAACACATACTAAATAAATAAAAGCGGAAGATAAAAGTCAAAAGAATCACTTTATTCAAATTTGAAGCTTTCATGTTTTGTTTACTCTTCAAATCTGGTGAAAACTAATCCTAGTGTTTTTAGTGTACATGTAAGAATATATATGAGATATATAGCATATAACATTTTCTTAGGAATTTGTAAGTCCTGGAGAAAGAAGAAATAAAAATTTTCTTTAGGTATAAAGTGAAATGATTTGGGACCCATGGGAATTGTGTAACAAGGCTGCTGCTGAAGTCTCGATCAGTTATTACTTCTCGCAATCCAGGGTACATGGCAGACAGACCCAGGAGAAGAGGGAAGACACCAGCCAATCCTCCTTTTCCCTCCCCTGGTGGGCAATCGGGCATCTCTACTTGCTGCATCTTTTACAGCTGCCTTCTAAATATATGATGCAGATGCAGAATACATGTAGAGTCCCTCCAAAGAGGGAAAAGTAAACATTTAGTGACACTAAAAAGTATAAGTAAAAAATACAGTTCACTCTTGTTGAACCCTAATGAAGGCACGGAGACAATTCAAACATATTCAGCTGTTTAGGACTTTAAAACATAGCAACACACTACTATTCTAGCAGCCTCAACACTCTGGGACATATCCCCAAATCTACAATTAAATATTTTATGACAAATAAATATGAGAGAATACCAGTCCTAAGGCCATGTGCTACATTCCTGAGCTCTGACTCAATCTTATGTTAGGCATGGTGACAGGACTTCAAGAAACCATTTTCCTATAGCCATATGTACCACTTCTTGTACAATATATAAAACTATTTCTTCAAGATCCAAGATCTTACAGCCAAAAACACAACAAAAATAAACTGAGGAACTGGTGTATAAATAAAAGATAAAATCTCCTATAACAAGCTAAAATGCAATCAATAGTTAATAGTAATTAGATTGCAATGAAGTTTGATAAAAACAAATAAAAAGGAATTTGGTTAAATTAAAACTTTATAGTGAAGGGCTATACTTCTATAAGGTTTATAAAATATATTTTGGCTATGTTTTAACACAGTACCACTTAATGGTCTGTACACATTATAATTCAATCGTGTTTATTTACCTTTAAAAAATGTATTTCATATGTATCCAAAATGCAGAAAACCTAGAGATGTCATGCCTTAAAGGGAGATAGGAACTGGTTACAGTGCTCATAGTCTCAATTTAAATTCAAGAACCAGTAAAATGGTGATTTCTTGATTCAAATTCTTTTGGGGACAAAAAGAATGATGGCAATTTTTCTGATATTATCATGCTTTGATCCGGGTAGTGCTCCTTCCTGTATAGCTCTTCCTTCTTACCCACATCTGAACTACCCCTCAGTGTGCCTTTATGAGTATTTTTTATCCACTTCAATCCTCAGTTTTCACTCACTTTATGCAATTAAGTATACTGTTCTTTTGACACAATCACATTCTGATGAGTGTTTTTGCTCAATTTCTCATATGTATTTTATCTTGTGTTTCCCCAACCTGATCTTAAGAACAATGGCCATGTTTTAGAATTCGCTGCGTATTTTACAGCACCCAGCAACAGTACTAGAAAGTCTACTTGGAAAAGAGTCCAGTCTTCAGAATAACAGTTAAGTCAGTGCAGATTTTTAAATGTTCTGAGCGTGAAAATAAAACCACTCAGTTAATATGATAAAAGGAGTAACACTAAATCCATATAATTGACATAATCTCAGCTAATATAGTGAATAAAATCTAAAAGTTTTGTTTTTAAAATTTATTTACTATCTTATTTTTGAAAGATGTATTTTCTAGACCCACTGAGTGAATGTTAGTGAAACTACTAACAATTTAGATGATACATTTTTAGGCTGTTAGTGATAGAAAGGATTCAGAAACTATCTTTAGTTCAACCTGCCCTTTTTTTATGATGAAGAAAACAGGTCCAGTGTTTATCAGCTGACTCATCTTGTCACAGTTATTGCTGGAACTGATTCTAGTACCTATACTTCTTGAATCCCAGGCCAGTGTTCTTTCTACTAAACCATACTATCTCTTCTGGCAAATTAGGCACTATATCAATGATTGTTACAGGTACACAAACCCAATAACAACAATGTAAGCACACTGTTTTACTAAAATAATTATCAGTATGAAATACTAGGAACTGTGATACCAAATTTTGGTTACACAACACATATCTTCTCTATTTATGCTTCTACATATTCACCTACAGGAGTGAGGGGAAAGAGAAACCTCAGTGGAAAGGTGAATTATACAATACTAATTTTCAAGTACTTTATTTTTTTATAGGGGCGTGGAAAGCCAATGAAAATACTAAGCCAGAGAAATAAATTTAGGAGTTAGAGACTACACTTAAAACCAAGGGGAAGAATGGGCTCAATAGGAAGAGGATGGGAAATGAGAACCTAAAAGATGCCAGGTAAGAGACATGAAAAATATACAATATTCTTAAACACATATTTTAAAAGTGGAGTTATAAAGAGTGGCCAAATAAAAGCCTTTAAGTTCCCAGTGGAAAACCACAATATAATAACATTACAAGAAAGCCAACTACTATTATTGGTTTGCTGTCCTGTTGGATTATTCTATCTAGAATTTAGTTACCACTAGTTTCCTTTCCTGCCAGCATTGTCAGGGTGGCACAAAGACCATTAAAAAAGATCTTTTAAAGGTTGCATTTATGATAGCCCTAAATCACAAGGTTAAAGTTTACAGACCATTAAAATAAGTTAATCCATAAAAACACTGGCATTTGCTTTAACTGGTTAGAGCAGAAATAATTCTCTGTTGCCGTGCTAAATGGTAGTAGTATTTTCTCTGAAATGCATTGTTCCTACCTTATATAGGCGTGACCTAGAGATTTGCAAAACTCTTCAATCGCCAATGCTTTTGTACCATTCATATTAGAAATATAGCCAGGGATGAAGATAACTCCTGGACTTTTGCCTTTTAGCTTCTTATAAGCCAGGTTTGGAAGGTCTGGTCGACTAAGGAAAGAGACTGATGTCTTTTGTCTGCAAGCTAAACAAAGTACACAAAACATAAACTACAGTTCACAAATACTGTTTTTGGAAAACCATATACAATTGACCCTTGAACAACATGAGGGTTGGGGTGCTAACCTCCCACGTAGTCGAAAATCTGCGTGTAACTTTTGACTCCCCAAAAACGTAACTACTAATAGCCTACTGTTGATTGGCGGCCTTACCAATAACATCAACAGTTGATTAACACGTATTTTGTATGTCGTATATATTACATATCATATTCTTACAACAAAGTAGGCTAGGAAAAAGAAAATGTTAAGAGAATCATACAGAAAATATATTTACAGTAGTGTACTGTATTTATTGAAAAAAAAAACCAATGTATAAGTGGACCTTTGCAGTCAAACCCATATTGTTCAAGGGTCAATTGTATATTTTCAATCTTAGCTTTCTTAACTTGTCAAATTGATGTCAAAACTACTTCCATTTAAGAGGAAAAACAAAAAGACTTGAAGTACTAAAATCACAAGCCTATGCATGGTATTTTCTGAACTCATATCAAAATCAGTGCCTTTGAGCAAGGTCCAATCTTGATTCTTCCAAAATATGCAATGAGGAGGAAATTTCAAGGCAATAAAAGATAAAGACTTGTAAAAAATGTTTTCTTGTTGCTGCTGTATCATCTGTCCTAAATAGTATCAATCAACGTTCCGATTTCTCTACACCAGTTTTAGCCTTCTCTTGTGAGATTTTTTTAATTTTTTCAATGTTTGAGGAGTTTCACATCCTCTACTTTTTGGCAGGGAGGGGGAGAAACAAGTCTGGTCTGCCCTTGAGAAATTGTTCCAAAGGTGGGGGTGCTGGTGTGCCACTTTTACTACTGGCTCCCTCGCCACCCACAGATTCATGGGCTATGGTAATAGCCAATCATGACTCTTTATCAGCTGAGATGGCTTCATTGAGCAGTTTCTTTACAAGTGACCTTGAATAATTTATAATAGTACCATTTTTGGAAAAAGATTTCTCAGAGGGCTCTGCAATCACTATGTGTTTTATTTGTTGGTTTGGCTTTTTGTGAATGCTACACAGATCTTCATGCAATTTAAGTACAATAGTACAACTGGCAAACTTTACAAGGTTACTCGTTGTTTCATTGTTTTTGAAGTTTTTTCCTACCATAAAATCTATACTTGCTTTTAAAAAAAAGTAAAAAGATATTTAAAAGAACATTAAGTCATTTATAATCCCACCTCCTCCTTCCAGAGAAATTAGGTTTGTGGGGCGTCTGGGCGGCTCACTCGGTTAAGTGTCCAACTCTTGATTTCTGCCCAGGTCATGATCTTGGGTGTGAGAAGAAGCTCCGCATCCGGCTCCGTGAAGAGCACAGAGTCCGCTTGGGATTCTCTCTCTCGCTCTCCCCCCACCCCCCCAGCCCCCCACAGCCCTCGCGCACACACACAGACACACATTCCTGCTTTCTCAATAAATAAATAAATCTAAAAAAACAAATGTTTGTGTATTTCCTGTATTTCCTGTATTCCCTTACAGTCTTTTCCTGGACTAACAAAACCTCTTATAGTAAATGAAACCTTCCTCTCCTTTATTGCGGCCAATGAAAACATCTCGGCCCCCTCCACGAGAGTTGATAAAAGCTTCCTTCATTTTGGATTTGAGAAGTTTTTTGTTTTTTTTTTAAAGTAGGCTCTATGCCCAGGTAGGGCTTGAACTCACGAACCTGAGGTCAAGAGTCCTACACTCTATCAACTGAGCCATCCAGGCAGCCTGAGAAGTTGAATTTTTAAAAACTGAATTGAAGGCGTAAAGCTATCCTTATTACATATAAGTGTGTTTCAAAGTTTCAGTGTATAGTGAAATATGCCAAATTTAAAACTTTTAGCGAAAACCAGGGCTAGTAGGGGCCAGTTATGTTGGCTGGTAGACTGTATTTGCAAAAATGTCAACTTCCAATTTCCTTAGCTCAGCACTCAAAAAATCCCTCCTATCCTCTTCTTGATGTTAATTCCCCAAACAGGAATTTCTTCTGGAGACAATTACAATTTACTTCATCTTGGTGAGTTGTAAGTGGACAGGTTCTTAACATTACACCCATTATACTACAACGATTAGCTCAAAGGCTGATGCGTTCAGTTCTCAATGATGTGCCAAATAGATGAAAGAGTATTACAATCTAGTTAATGAACTGACATACCATACTTCGATAGAGGAACTTACATATAACAAGCCTTTAGGTTGTATACAATTAAATGTAAGTTAAACTGATTACATACATTTAAAAATTTTAACTAAAACAAAGGGTATCAGCAATGACGTTTCTATTCCAAGCACAGTGCACCTGACAGCTTGTATGGCAAAGGTGTAAACAACAAAACCGGAGAATAAAAAGACACAATTCAGAAAGACTGACTATATATACTGGAGGGTAGGGTGGTACGGAGAAGAATCAAAGACAAGATAAAGAAAACATTCAGACGCTCTCATTTTTGGTCCAAATTCTAGTTTCCTTTGTTGAGTAATGATTATGGTTTTCACTGAGCCGGGAGCGTCGAGAAGGCAAAATCAGAAATTAGGCTTGATGGCCGCGTCTACACTTTTGCAACAACAAAAAAGTTCATATCGTAAATTCCGTCAGGTGAAACAAAGGCAGGTCTAAGCATCCTAAGAGTCAAGATTTGTAAACCCCTTAGACCCGAAGAGAAAAGAAAGAAAAAGCAACTAATAAACGCACATCTTAGTATTTCCTAGGGTTGGCGCTTAACGCGCGGGGAGGCAGGCAGGGAGTAGAATCCTTAAAACGGCAGAGCGGAAAACGCCAGCAAGGGCCCGGGCTGTGCAGGATACCCGGGGGCCAGGAAGAGGTCTTCTTACTACCTTCACCAGAATTGTTGAAAGCGCCTAAAACTGGGGTACTGAGAATGGGAGAAGAGCATTTTGAAATAGGGCGCCAAAAACGCACTAGACAGGAACGGACTGAACCCGATGTTCCAAAGAACGCGTACTTCTCCCGCCTTTCGGACACTGACCTGGGAGCCACAGCGGCGTCCCCTCGGGCTTCCTGGCGAGTAACGCGGTGAGGCCACGGTGGAAGCCGAAGACTGCCGCTTTGCTCCACCTCCGACAAGGTACCCATGCGCCCAGAGCCGCCATGCCCACTCCGGCCATCTTCCCAGCGGCCCCTGAGCACCAAGCTGACCCACAGAGTCACTCAGTGCACAATAACTGAGGCTGCGCGTGCGCCGCCAGCCGGAAGCCCGGACTTGCTAAAGAGTACCGCGGGAGAGTAGCACCAGAGAGCGCACATGCGCAGAGCGTCGTCGCGCTGGCCCTCCTCTCGCTATTGGACAGTTGATTCTCTCAGTTTTTGCCGTTGATGCTTCAGAATGTTTTGAGTGAATTCAGTAGGCGACTTTTTCAATGGGCAGATAGATATTCTGTGGCTGGAGGCGCCGAGAGAACCCGTATCCAACGCTCCTAGATAGGAAACCGTCTCATCATCCCGAGGACACTAGGGAGCGAAAGCATAAGATGCTAGCTAGCTAGGCAGCTTGCATTACAACTCGCTCTCCCGCCCCGACAGTTTTAAGCTGTACCGGAAGTGCTTCCAATATTTGACCTTAATCCTGCTTGCAGAAATACCCGGAGTGGACTTACTCACGGCTCCTTCGTTTTTTGCTCTAGCTCTTTGTATGCCTGACGATTGAATTTTTGAATTATTCCGTCCCCTGCCATATGTTATGTGCAAAAATAAATCCCAGTAGATAAACGATCTCAACGGAAGAATAAAATTGAGAGGATTTAAATACACTGAGCATATTTCATAGTTTGGGGAAAGAAGGGACTTTCTTAAGCAAGATATGAAACAAAATCATAAAAAATAAAAATGTATATGAATTTCAACTTTTTGAATGGCAAAAGTCATCTTGAGTCAAATGAGAGTCTAGAAAAAACTGATTTTACAGCACAGATAACAGAACAATAATACTTCTATTCAGCCTGCTCCTAGAAATAAGGGGAAAAACCTATAATTTCAATAGAATTGGTCGATGGCTGTGAATAGGCAGTTCATATGTAAAGATGTTCAACTTCACTAATTGAAAAATATGAATTGAAAAAACAACATTATTTTTCCCAGGCATCAGATTCGCAAAAATTAAAAAGAGCAACTATTGGCAAGGATGCTGGGAAACGCACTCGTGTAGGGTTGGTGGGAGGGTTAATTGCTAAACTTTTCTGTCAGGTAATCTCACCACACCTATTAGGGTTTAAATTATGCATCATTTTCAATGTCCTTGACCCAGTGGCCCCAGTTTGTGACTCTCCTGTAGAAAACAACACTAATTCATAAGGAGGCATATTATCAGCTACATCACCATTTTTAGAAGGAAGCAGAAGAAAAAATGGAATAGTCAATAATAGAAAAATGGTTGAATAAATTGTACAAGAGTTTCTGAATTCTAGCTCTGGCACCCTTCAAATTAATCCTGGGGGTGTCAAGCATCAAGTAAGATCTTTTTTTCTACTTCAGGCTACTGTGGTTGGTATAATACTTAAGTAAAGCCAGTTTACTATGTTGGTCACAAATTTTGGAGCAATGATTGATGCTAGAGTTAAAGGCAAAGTTTGGATACAGTGAATCCAGCCTATCTTTGGAGTCTTGAGAACCTGTCTTATTGGAACATACTGAAAAAGTTAGTTAAATAAAAATTAAATAGATCTTTCTTGGATGGTGTAGTGCCAGAAATAGATAGCAAGGAGGGCTGCTTGATTTCAGGTGGCACTCCAAAAGCTGGTGAGCTGTTTTGCCAGTTCTCCATTAGGCCTGTTGTAGACTACAAAGGACGTAAATCAGTAAGGTGATACACAATGCACATCACTTCACTATCCCTTATATCTTAATAATCAACATTTCTCACTGTGGTTTTTGGATAATTGCAAATATCCTCAATCATTCCTGTCCTTATTCTCTCCCTTTATTTTTGCAGATCTTCTTACATTTTATGTGCAACAAAATGGAAAAAAAAAAAATCTGCCTTGTCTCCATAATGGGAAAAGCTCCGTACATGGACTGTTCTCTCTATCCACCCTTATCAGTATAACAAATCAGGAAAAACTGTGGCTAGATCAAGTGAAGATGCTTTTACCCACAGTGATGGGCTTGAAGTAAACGAATCTGTTTCCATTCCCACTGTCAATGTTGCCTTCATTAACAGGAATGATAGGACGTACCGTTCAGGGCCATTTCTCTCTCTCTGAAACCTGCTGCCTTAGCCCAGGGAGACAAATGAGGTCGCTATCAAATAAAGCCCTTAATTCACACCTGCATGATTTTCTCCCTGCCAGAGAAATAAGCACAGTCCTTGCAATCCCCAGTAATAACTGCATCTTTGCAAAAAGACAGTAAGATGTCAGATTTGTCAGGGGTTATCTCACTTTGTTAGCAACAGGAATGTGACCAGAGAGACTTAGAATTACTTCAATTTATAAAACTACAAATCATAATGTTAGCACACAACAACTTTTGTGGAGATTCACAATTGACTTTTGCTGATTAATCCATCCCCTGTCATGTCACCAATAGGTAACCTTCTAATGAGAGATGAGTTTATTTTCAAGTGTGAAATCTGGTCAACATTTTAATCCATACTCAACATATTTTAATACACATTTTAAAAGGTTTACTACATCATGCAAGATATAATGCTGATTAGAATATCTTTATAATCCTATAAAGTACAGTACAGACAAGTTACATCTTTACATTAACCAACAAAATTTTAGCAATTGCATTTCACTCTTTTAGATCATTACGGGTTTGGGGTGATCTCTGAAAAAACATATTATAAAAATGTCTTTTGCAATCGTGACTTTGTCCTCCACTGTTCAAGTAAAATCATGTGTTATCCAGTTGCAAAATCTTATTATTGGCAACATGTATACATGTATACAAACCACACTGCAAAGTTTTAAAAATTGTACCCCGTCAGGCCTGACAAAGATTTTACAGACACTTCCAATCTAATCATTTCACCCTGTACTAGTAAGCAAAGCCATTATTTTCTATTTCTATTCATTTGCCAACTTTTAGGAAAGAGTATGTTTATACTTGCAAATACACACAACGTGACAAACCAGGATAAAGTCATTTGAAAAACTGTTATAAAAGAGACTTGCCTGAAGTCATTTCATTCAACAAAAATTAATTTAACTCTAAAAAACATAGGCTAAATGTAAAGAAATACATAATAAAATAGTACATTACAAAGAACATTAAGTCGAAGTTCATTTTCCTTTTTATAGAGCTATGCTACTTCTGTAAATAAGTATTTTAATTGGTCTGTTCTTTGGTGAAAACAGAGCTCTGATTTCATCGTTATGGCACGTGAGACTGCAATTAACAGGCATGTTCTACAAAAAAGAGGAAACAGACAATCTAAAGGAAATTGGCTGCTGGCTACCTTTATTCTCAGCATTGGGAATGGAGGAATCTTTAGCAAAATATGAAATATTCTCCTTATTTTAAATTGCTCAAAGTGACAGAATGTCTAATAAGATGGCTTCTGTCTAAAACACACAACTTTTTGTTTTTTCTTCTTTTACAAAAAGTGATTTGCTCTCTATGTACAATAGCTTATACCAGTGGTAACTCTTCAGAGTCAACTTTCTAGACAGTTGATGGCATCAAAGTACGATTTTAAAATGTAGAGTAACACTAAATGCGGTTCATCACCTGAAACTACCACTATTAAACAGAAGTCATATCAAGTCTTTGGTGTAGGTGCAGTACTTAATAATTAGGGCAAAACTCCTCCTAAAATATATTCCCCTCCAAATCCTTATTTGCTTCTATTTATAAAATAACCTTCAGCAAAATGCTTTTTAAAATACCGGTTGATAACCAAAAATGTCAATGCTAATAACTGGGGTGCTAAAATAATTTCATATTTCCAAATACATACATTTTGTAAACCATTCAGTTTATTTCACCAAAGTAAACAATCGATAAAAATAGTTTATAAGAAATGTTCCTATAAGTGATGCTATTTACCAAAATAGTCGTTTTTTTCTTTTCTCATAGGTGCTTTAATCCTTTTGCTACTTATCATCCAGCTCTGAATTTAAACCCCTTTTTTCTCTTTTATAAATGACTTTCTATTAATATAAAAGGAGTTCTGAGTATACACAGTGAGAAGGATGGGTCTGTTGGGTCTTTCCATCTGGGATTGAATATGGCTTCATTCTTGTACGAGATTATTGCAGTCAGCCCTGAAGTAGACCGTTATTCACTACAACAAGAAGTGCGTGTAACCTTCCGCCCCAGTAACTATAACATCCATCCAAATCCGCATGGCTTCCGGCGACGGCGCAACCATATAGTAGATTCTGTCGTGCGTCTTGACACTAAAGGTGAGTAATGGATTAGGACTCTAAAAATCAAAAAAGGAAAAGAATGTAAAACAAACATCCTGAAATTAAATGACACAGACATATGTGAGGGCTTCTTCCTCTTTCAAAGTTCTAATTTATAGAACTCTAAATTGGTGTTACTACTGCTCTAGTATAACCTGTAGCCCCACCTCCAACACCTTTCTCAAGATCGACTGTCTTTCCAAACTTTCTGCACAAGAAATATCACACAGGGAGCTCACCAATCAATCTTCTTAGCAGCTACTTTGTAGGTAAAGCTCTAGCCGGGTACTTAGCTGATAGTGGGTGCTCGATAAGTGACAGCTTATTCTTGGCCTTACTAAGATTCTTCCTTATAACCAAGGAGTAGCTCCTTTTTAGAACCTCACAAAAAAAGTCACTTAACAGGGTCTTCTAAATTAATATGACCAGAAGATTTTCTCACTTCACCATGACTTTTTTTCCCCACAAAAGATCAGCTGTATTTAAATTACTTCCATGTTCGCTTTTCTAGAACCATTATGATTATATCAATCAGTTATGTCAAAACAACAAATCTAAATTGCTTGGAGTTCAAAAAACATTTTTCCCAATTTAATCATGCATTCAAAGAACAGAAATCTGAAAATCAGTGTTTACCTTATTAGCGTTCTTGAGGTGATCATAATACACTTCTTCAATGGCTTGGAAGTATATTACTCCCTTTAATTTAGCTTCATGCTTGTCTGCAATAATAAATAGTGATAAAATACTTTATCACCACTGATG